AGCAAAGGCAGTAGGCAGGGGTGTTTTGTAAGATGCGGGCAGATCAACAGAAGACTATGGATTGCCTGTTTTTTGTTTAAAAACATTGTTTATTACTACTTTCTAAAACATTTATTAGCCACTCTTCAGTCTTCTGAAGCTCAACATAAAAAAAAAACGAAGATCATGGCCACTGGGCCCATCACCTCCTGGCAAATAGAAGGGGAAGAAATGGAGGCAGTGAGAGATTTTACTTTCTTGGGCTCCATGATCACTGCAGATGGTGACAGCAGTCACGAAATTAAAAGACGCCTGCTCCTTGGGAGAAAGGCGATGGCAAACCTAGACAGCATCTTTAAAAGCAGAGACATCACCCTGCCAACAAAGGTCCGTATAGTTAAAGCCATGGTTTTCCCAGTAGTGATGTATGGAAGTGAGAGCTGGACCATCAAGAAGGCTGATCACCGAAGAATTGATGCTTTTGAATTATGGTGCTGGAGGAGACTCTTGAGAGTCCCATAGACTGCAAGAAGATCAAACCTCTCCATTCTGAAGGAAATCAGCCCTGAGTGCTCACTGGAAGGACAGATCGTGAAGCTGAGGCTCCAATACTTTGGCCACCTCATGAGAAGGGAAGACTCCCTGGAAAAGACCCTGATGTTGCGAAAGATGGAGGGCAGAAGGAGAAGGGGATGACAGAGGACGAGATGGTTGGATAGTGTTCTCGAAGCAACAAACATGAGTCTGACCAAACTGCGGGAGGCAGTGGAAGACAGGGTCCATGGTGCTCTGGTCCATGGGGTCACGAAGAGTCGGACACGACTAAACGACTAAAACAACAACAACAACTTCAGTCTTAGCTTGCAAAGTGGAATACATCATTGGACATAAAATGCAGTAAATATAAGAAAATAACAATCACAAGTTGTAGGAGTTAAAAGTCCAGTGGAAAAGAAGGGCAGACAACATAAAATTCTTTGGCAAATAACTTTTCAGCAGGTGCAGAAAGGGTTGTAAAGACAGCACCCGAGCCTGCCTTGGAAAGGTTCCCCAGTTGAAAAGGCCTCCTCTCCCATTGCTACCTACCTAACTTCAGATATCAGAGGGATATGGAGCAGGTTCATGCAAGAGCAGGTGATCCTTGAAGTATGCTGTCAGACTCATTTTGCCATCAGCCCAAATGGAAAATAATAGTGACCCAACTCACAGGAGTCAGAGAATTACAGGATATGTGTGGCTGTTTTATCATTGCTTGCATTTTGCCCTTTACTATTTTGTTGGCGGGCCTGTTTGCTTTGAAAGTAAGTAATTTGTGTTGGATGCGGAAGATGGCAGGAAGCTGATGTGGGAATTTGAGGAGGTAATGGAAGAGGTGAATTACTTTGGCAGTAGACTCCTGGATAGAGTTGAGACGGCTGAAGCGGAATAATGGAAAGCCAGAGAGGACAAGGTTGCAGTAGTCAAGGCAAGAGAAACCTGGGGTGTGAACTAGACTTTTCATCAAAGGGGAAAGAATTTTGATGAATTCATAGAACTGTAGAGCTGGAAGGGACCACGAGGGTCATCTAGTCCAATCCCTTCAGTGGAGGAATATTTTGCCCAACGTGGGTCTCCCATCCCTGAGATTAAGAAGTTCCTGCTCCACCAACTGAGCTATGCTTAGGTGTATCAGGTATGAGGGACCTGTTGTTAGACTCTAAGTTCTATGATTTGGCTAATGGCAGGGGTGATGGGAGTTGTAGTCCAGCACATCTGGAGGACCACAGGTTCTCCATCCCTGGTCTGCATTTTCACAGTGCTGTACAGGAGAAGACAACTCAATTTGACAATTTAACTGATTATAGGGAGCAAATGTGATCCCCATTGTACCACTCACAAGGATATATTTCACCGTGGTGAAAAATGGACTGAGGGGTCATATCTGACATCATGTTGAGCTTCAGAGGCACTTGGAAAACAGCGGGTTCTGCTTCCAAGTGCCTGAGGCTTAGTACAACGCCAGGGAGAATTTTATCCCCAAGTTGGGGAGGGCATTCATGGCAACCAGAAATTTGTTACTAGATGCTAAAGTCAGCTAAAGCTTGTAGACCAGCAGAAGGAATAATTGAAATCAATCCTTTTACGCTGCAATGGTGGAATTACGGAATGAGTTGTATGTAGATAGCAGATTGAAGTGAAGTAATATTTCTGTTTCTATTTTGTTTGATATGAGTGTTAATAAAAACTAGGTTAAGGGAAAACTGTCTTCTGGCTACACTGTGGTTGGTTTGATTCCACTGCCAGTATGCTATTAAGTAATCTAATGTGACCATAATAGGGTGAAAGTTCCCTGTCATCTATATGGTGGCACATACGTACATCTAAAAATACGGTGTCTTAACTGGAGATGAGAAACTACTCCAGTGCATCTAATGTATATTTAAGTAATTGCTGTTATAACATATCTAGCGCTGGAATGCAGCAATAGTAATTCCTAGAGACTGACAGCAAATGTGGAGTATTACGTGAGAATGAGTTTGGATCTTGTTTGCATAATATGTGCCATCTACGCTGAAAATGTAAAAAGGGAGGGGCAACTAGCGACAAGATCTCTTCTCTGTAATATTTGTAAAGGATGAGGTCACTTAGGCACTAAAGGGCTGACCATTTGCATTTAACAAGGATTTGACTTCTGTCACTGAAAATGGTACTTAAAATCAGAGTGCTATGACAAAGCTGGGAGGCTGGAGTTTAATTTTAGTTTTATGGCATTAAAGCTTGAAACAACTTAGAAAGGGTGAGGGGAATGCATGCTTTGTAGTCTCAGTGGCATTGTTTGCCGCAGCAAGTCTGCATGCAAAGGAAAAAATCCATGCTTAATTCAACCAAATTATTTAATCCAATCATTGTCTTGTAATTTGCTATTTGCAGTGCTTCATCTATTAAATGAAAATTAAGCATTTATCAATTTTCCCTACACCAGTGCTTGGGGAGAAATCTTGTTTGAGGCACACGGCATAGAATCGCTCAGTTATCCAGTTTTCTGATTAATAGTCCATTGTATGTACAAATTCATCTTAAAAGGAGCAGTGTCTTTCTGTTTCTCTGTGTGATTATTTTGCCCAGAAAAGCTTTCATTTTTTTTAAGTAGCACAAAAGCTGTAATTGGCATGCTTTGTAAGGAAATGTCAATGTGCAAGAGAGTGGAGATCACTAAGAATTCTTTTACGCGTTCTTTCCCCTTTGCACCACCGCCTCCTCAGCAGGGTCACTGAGATCACTAGCTTTTCTTGAAATGGCCATTTTCACTGGCAGGTGCATTATACCCTGTATTTTCAGATTGTTTTTCCATTCTGAATGTTTGGCAGGTTGATTGCTCTGGCTGCATTGACGGAGAAAGGGCTGACAAATGCGGTTGGGCTGGCTGAAAAGACAGTGATTACTGTTTTCCTTTGTGGCTGATTGAGGCCCTTGAAAGGAAAGATTTTAACCTTCACCATTTGGTTCAGAAGTATGAGCATATATTGAAATCATTCATGCCATTTATCCTAGGTCTGTAAACTTGTCAGAACGTAAAAATCGCTCAATTTCATATAATGTGGGATTGGCATACGTCATTATCATTTTGATTAAGTTGGAGTTTGTATTATTGTGTGTTATATAGTGTCATTTAAAGCATTTGTTCCTTCAGGTATGGATATATTTTTATTGCCTAAACTATGGAGTTGGGAAGGTTTTTTCTCTCTCCTCGATCTTGCTTCAGCCTATCACTATGTGTGTGGTTTGGCAGCTGGTAGGCCCTACAAGCTGTATTATGTTTGCAGGGTAAAGGCTTGTCTGTAGACCTCCTGGAGAGCTAGTAATTGCACAGGCTTGCCATTGGAGAAAAAACATGATTGGAAGCAGTCAGGCAGAAAAATGCTGTGCCATCCCATTGCCACCTCAGAGCAGGGAGAGACAATCCCAGCAGTACCATCTGGTTGCTGCTGTCTAGTCAGCTGGCCTGGCTGCTGGGACCAGAGCTTGGCAGCTGGTTCCCATCTCTTGACCAGTCTTAGGTTGTTTTTTTATCCCCCATAGGTGACTTTGAACATGGGTCACAGGGATGGCTGCAACAAACACGTCCCTGTTGAATCCTGCCTCATTACTTGTGACGAGGCGTGCTGCAAGCTCCTGCTGCCTTTCTCTTGCAGACAGATGACATAGTTGTTTAACCCAAAAAGAAAAAGAAAAAAAAGTCTTTTGAGAAACTTACCCCTGGAAACAGAGAAGGAAAAGGCAGTTGCAACGTATATGCTGCAACACTTGCGATTTTAAAAGTTGTGTTTTAGGGTGTCCTCATTCAAAGGCGAAAACCTAGTAATGCAAAAAAGAAAGAAAGCAAAAAAGCAGCCTTCTCAGTATTCCAGAACATCAGCAGCACGTTATTTGTTGCAATTAAGGAACAACACATTTTGCTTTTTAAATTCTCATTGGCAAACATGATAAGGATAATGAGGCTTGCATTTGGAATGACAGAAAATAAAATGTAATCTGTCTGTGCTATTATCTTTCGGAAAATTTGCTTCTCCGACTAGCATCCTGAAAACTAATGTAAGCCATCTTTCCTGTATGAAAAAACCATTAGACACTGATGGTTCCATATCACAAGGAAGCAGCGACTCTGTGGGCTATTTAAGACACTTGATTTCTTTATTCAGCAGCATTAATATGTCAGCACGTTACATAAAACTGTGGTTGCATATGCTGTCTTGAATGACAAATGCTGGGTAGAGGTTAGGAATTCAAAATTGAAATCTCTGAATAGTTTCTGGGAGGTTTTACTGTAGATTGCACAGGCTTACGTTTTGTGAATTTGTTGTGAAAATTGTGGTATGTCCAGCTTACTGTCATCTCCTTTAATAAGTGCAATTCCCGAATTAAACTATTGCATTCTAGCAAAAAAGCTGCTTTAGGTAGAATATACAATATATACACAGAACTGTTTTGCCTGACATAGGATTGCACAGTGGGCAGAATGTTGACAACCTTGCTCTTTTCAGATGAAGAAGATGAAGATGATGCAGTGGTACAAAAACCACCAGTTGAGCCTGAAGAAGAAAAAACATTGAAAAAAGAGGAGGAGGAGGAAGGTACAAATGTATCATAACACATTTAAACTATTGCTCAACTTTGTGTCTCTCTTTAAAAGGTGCTGAAGGTTTATATAATAATAGAAATACAGTGTGTGAAGATTTTTTTTAATGTACAGAACTTAAATAATTGTTTTTAAAATCTGAACATACACTTATTTTAAAGATTAGAATGATTTTATTTGTAATCTGCCATCTAAAAATAAAGCTCCGAATCTGTTTCCCCCAGTTGCCCCTCATGAACTGACAGAAGAGGAAAAGCAACAAATTTTGCATTCTGAAGAATTTTTGAGCTTCTTCGACCAATCAACAAGAATTGTGGAAAGAGCTCTTTCTGAGCAAATTAACATTTTCTTTGACTACAGTGGGCGAGACCTGGAAGAGAAAGAAGGGTAATATGGGAATCTTACAAATGTGTTGCTAGGTTTGTTTTCATCTTACTGAAAGTGATCCTAAGTCTCCCCTCTTCAATTGTTCTTGCAGAGAAATTCAGGCAGGTGCTAAACTGTCCCTAAACCGACAGTTTTTTGATGAGCGTTGGTCAAAGCATCGTGTTGTTAGTTGTTTGGACTGGTCATCTCAGGTAACAATAGCACTTCATTAAAAACCATTCTTCTAGAAACCCTTTAGCAGACGTTATTCTCATTTACCTGCAGTTGCAGTGTCATCTTATTTATTTAATGCAAAGTTGCTTAATTCATTGCTCAAAAAGAAAGAAAAGAAAGAATAATGTGCAGAAAACATCACAAAGGAATAACGTAGAAGTGTGTCAGTTGCAAAACTGAGCAGTCTGCATATATCAAAATAGAAGACAACTCTTCTGTGTCTACTGGTTCTGAATTGTTGGTTTAATTTTGAAATTGCTCTCCTAGCTGTAGCTGTCTAATTAACAAGGTTGACCTTAGTAGCTTAATTTTAAATCATATGATAATTTAAGTTGGCTGATCTTACCTCTGTAAGCAACAATCTTCCCTTTTGTTCTCAATTACTTTTTGAATCCAGTATCCAGAGTTGCTGGTAGCCTCTTACAACAACAATGAAGATGCTCCTCATGAACCTGATGGGGTGGCACTTGTGTGGAACATGAAATACAAAAAAACAACTCCAGAGTATGTCTTTCATTGCCAGGTAGGATGTGAGTTATGCCTTGCCAGACTAAGAATTTTATGTTAATGAATGTGGACATGAGCCTTCTTCTACTTGTCAGCATAATGATTTCATTGGGCAGGCATGAACTTTAAACCGCTTGTGTTTGCAAATACATGTCAACATCTGAGGAATCCATTAATCCTTTTTAAAGGTTCGTCTATAGCAAGCAGCCTTTCTAACACCATTTGGATTATTTAAGTGTGCTGCAGTTCTGTATTTCTTATTCTGATTGCATAAAAGGAAGCTTCTTTTGTGTGTCAAACGCAAGGAGATGTTTTAAGAACTGTGGTCTTAAAATGTGCGGCGAGACCCGAGACCTCTGAATAAAAATGTTCGTAGCCTGAGGATTTAAAGCAAGCTAAGTTAAAACACATGTTTTCAGGCGGAAAAACTGAGATCCAGTTTTTATAAAATGGGTTGGTGGAAAGTTAAAAATGTACTAGTCTAGTTTGCTCTTGTGTTTTTCAAAATCTCACAATTCTGAAACTTCACAAACCATTGCTAAAATGTAATGTGATATTGTAACATCATTCTAAGGGTTTCAGTAACAATTGAAATATTAAAAAAGCATTTACTTTTCTTTTTTCTTTTGCCCTTACAGTCAGCTGTGATGTCGGCTACCTTTGCAAAATTTCATCCAAATTTGGTGGTTGGTGGCACATACTCAGGACAAATTGTGCTATGGGATAATCGCAGCAATAAGCGAACACCAGTTCAGAGAACTCCCCTTTCAGCTGCTGCTCACACGGTAGGGAGTGGAATATTCCCCCCCCCATTACTTCCTTATTCTCAAATTAACCCATTAATGTAGGATCAGTAGTGATAATCTGTTACTATGTTTTGAAGGCTGCAAACAATAGGCATTCGTTTTTTGCAGCATTCTATGTTAAAAAATATTTTACGTAAGGCTCTTATATTAGAAACCTTTTTTTTTTAAGTTAGGTCTTCACGTGCTTGTTTTTATTAAATTCTTCAGATAATCAGATACCAATTCAGCTACCCTTTCTCCCCCAGAGGCAATCCACCACTTAATATTGCTCAGCCCGAAAGTATTCCCACTTATCCACGTGTCCTTTCTCCAGCTTCCAAGTGCTCTCTACATTTATCAGTATTAGACATGACGTTGTATCTGTAACTGTCCATTTGTACCCACATCCATATTCAGAGGCATATTAGTTCTACTAGGAAAACATTGAGCTATAGAAGTTACTAATTATGCTTTCAACACAGCCTGTCTGACCAAGCAGCTCACTTAGCTATGCTCTGTGCTTTGTGACCATTGATAAAGTATATAATACTTTTTAAGGACTTGTAGCAACTCCTTTCAATGCCCCCCCATCTCCTTTAGTTGCATTTTAACCAATGCTCAGTCCCTTCTTCATCACAGCTTTTGTTTGCCACTCTTCCCACTGCCCCAATAAATGGCATAGTTGAGAAATAAACTCTTGACAGCACCGTTTGTTCTTTCAACTAAATTTGTAATGCTACCGAAGGGCTAGGCACCTTGCACACAAAACTCAAACCCCTGTTGGGGAGCATCTGTGGAAAACAGTGAGCTAGGTACCCAGATAATCTTGCCTATCTTCTCAACTTAAATGTCACTTTAAAAGCTAAAATTTGCACTTGCGCTATGTTGTCTGTAAATTACCCTGACGAAACATTGCTAATCTACGTCGCCCACTTCTGCTTTAGCATCCTGTGTATTGTGTGAATGTGGTGGGGACTCAGAATGCCCATAACCTTATCAGCATCTCGACTGATGGAAAAATCTGCTCGTGGAGTCTGGATATGCTTTCACAACCACAGGTAAAATAATCAAACGCTGCTTCTATGTGATCCGTGTGCAGTCTCACACCAGAGTTCTGTGCATGTGCAGAAAATAATTTTAGAACATTAGCATTTTGATGGGATTGGCTTCTCCCATTCGCAAGGTGCACGTTCAGCTCTGTTTTTACTGCACCATGACAGTGTCACCAAGGGACTTTTTCTCCTGTTAGCAATTACCTTAGTTTTGCTTGGCGAACAAAAGGTTTTGGTTGGTTCTGTCTATATATTTTGTAGTTTGCACTTCGTTTTTTAATTTGGTTTGCTTTTCCTCGCATGCCTCGCGACACCCCTCCGGCCTGTTTTGCGGAGTCAAATGCTTGACTTCTCAATTGCAAATGATAATTTCATGGTATCTTGCAGGTCAGTTATGAGGATTAGATCCATGCATGCTGCACTGGACGCCTTGGAAAAGTGGGATATAAATTTATAGCATAGGTAGCCATGTGGAAAGGGCACAATTTATATAATTCACATGTTAAGCCAAGGATGGCTGTGGACAGGATTCCTGCATTGCAGGGGGTTGGACTAGATGACCCTCAGGATCGCTTCCAACTCTATGATTCTAAGTGTAGATCTTAGGTCCTCCATGACATTCTGGGAAAACAGAGCCATGCCCTGTTTTTATGTAGTTCATGTGTTTTTATTGTATCAAATGCTTTAAATGTGAGAATAAGAATGCAGCAAGATTCAAAAAATGTTTCTTTGGAAACTAGTATCAAAAATCCTACTTGATTCTTGGCAGAAAGTTCTCAGCAAACCGGAAAGATTTGTATGTGATATTTTTCTCCCCAGGATAGCATGGAGCTAGTTCACAAGCAATCCAAGGCTGTAGCTGTCACTTGTATGTCTTTCCCTGTTGGTGATGTCAACAACTTTGTCGTTGGAAGTGAGGAAGGCTCTGTGTACACAGCATGTCGCCATGGCAGGTGAATAGAAACTGAGACCCCCTGTTTTTAAAGGATGACGGCCCTTCTTATTATGTTCTGTAAGATAAAGCAGGTTTGAGGTAGTTCCCCAACAGTTATATGGGCAACTGTGTATAAACAATGCAGGGTATTCTTTCACGTTCCAGAAAGCCTCTTATTGGCATAAATATTTCCCTTATTCTGGATAAAATGGCTTTAGAATTATGTAATGGGAGATGAAGTTTAGCCATCATTCTGGTCATTTGAATCATAGCACAACATCCCAGACCCTCACTTCTGTAGATAATTGTACAGTAGTATCACGCACCAATCTTAAATTGGGTAGCATGTCTCCTGCTGTTCAATCTGTTTTGAAATTGTCTGGCTGTATCTTATCAATTGCTTTCTTAAATGAAATTGAGGCCCCAGTCTCAGCTCAGACACACACCAGCCCTTCCTTTATAGCACTTTGGGTTAAAGCTAACCAAAATTGGTGGTTCTTCCATTTAATCAATATTGATACTATTGGGAATGCCCTGGTTTCAGACTGAAAATTGACCCAGGAACATGTGCATATTTCTGGAAGTTTTGTGCACGGCAACGTCTTCATTTTTGTGGCCCAAATATTTACTTTCTGTGAGAGAATTAATCAGATGGCATAGCACTTCTTAAGCACTGTTTTGTATCTTGAGGTGGCATATTTCCCCGAGGTTTATTTAATACGTGATTTTAAAATTCTGAGGTATGTAGCTATATTCAGGGGCACTTCTGCAACGCCACTACGAGGAAAAATTGCAGCCTTTGGGGGTTTTTTTATTTCGAGAAAAGGCAAGTCAGAGGTGACATGAAAGAAGTTTTTGAAATTTTGCAGGGCACAGAGAAAGTAGATAGACAAGTAGACAAGTAGATTAGACCATGTGGGCATTCAATGAAGCTGAATGTTGGAAGATTCGGGGCAGATAAAAGAAAGTGCTTCTTCACACAGTGCGTAGTTAAACTATAGAACTCTCTCCCGCAGAGGGCAGTTGATGGCCACCAACTTGAATGGCTTTAAAAGAGAATTAGACATATTCATGGAGAAGGCTGTCAGTGACTAGTGAGCATGATGGCTGTGCGCTGCCTTCAGAATTGAAGGCAGTATCCTTCTGAAGGCCAGTTGGTGGAAGCCACAGGAAGGGAGAATGCTCTTGTGCTCTTCCTGTGTTCTTATGACTATTAGTAGGGTACAGTGGAACCTCGGTTTTCGAACGTAATCCGTTCCGGAAGACCGTTCAACTTCTGAAATGTTTGAAAACTGAAAGCGGAAGCCTTGATACAATAGGGAAACACAAAATGGAAGCCTCGTGGCACGTTCGGCTTCCAAAAATCGTTCAAAAAGCAAAGCAGTTACTTCCAGGTTTTTGGAGTTCGAAAGCCAAAACGTTTGACTTTCGAGACGCTCGAAAACTGAGATTCCAGTGTATTGATTTTGAAGGGGCAAACATCTATTGGGTAAGCATATGTTTATCAAGTTCCTACCCTATTATTTAAAAAATGTATCTCAAATTATTTACGATTTTGTTGTTCTTGTTCGTAAGAAAATTCATTCCTGTGTGTGTGTGTCTCTTGCAACAGCAAAGCTGGAATCAGCGAGATGTTTGAAGGTCACCAAGGACCTATCACAGGGATCAATTGCCATGCAGCGGTTGGGCCTGTAGACTTTTCCCATCTTTTTGTCACTTCTTCTTTTGACTGGACTGTAAAGCTTTGGACTACTAAGGTATCTGAACTTGAGATGTCTAATTGCCTCAATTGATTGAGGAAACAATGTAAGCCACAGTCCCATCTGTTGGCCTATATAGGCAACCATCATGTAAACAGTAATGTGGGACCGCATTAGTTCTGTTGACAATGGTGATAGGAATATCTGTTTTCAGTATCTCTCCTGTAATACATTTAGACATAAATTCATTCATCCTTTTTAAAAAAATACCTTGTTCATATTGGGCTGAGGTAATTCATATGAACATGGATCTTCCCACCATCTCCTTCAACCTCTTACTGAGGTTCTCCATGGCTCTGCTGAACTTTGGCATGTCATATTTCTCATCATCAAATACTGTGCATATATATATATAATCAAAGATGAAAATGTGCAAAGCAAGAAAATACTAAATTATATTCCATTGCAGTTTCAGAAGCACACAGTTCATATAATCCTATTATCAGCAGTAAGTTGCAGTTAGACCTTAACATTTGAGAATTACAATCTTTGTAACACTGATAGATGCTAGCTTCACAGAAATCTGAGGTTGCTTAGAAATGGATCCAGTCTGCTTTATGTCAAATGGTATCACCAAATAAAATAAAACTGAAGGGTTTAAAGTCCTATGTTAGACTACGTTCTTTCTACCTGACGGCAATATTTGCAGAGGTAAAACTGAGGTTGTTTTCATTTTACTTGGCCACAAGATTTATTATTTTTTGTGGGAAAAGGTTCTCTGGCGAACCTTTTCCTTGCTTTATTCAAAATTAATCACACTGCTACATTAGTTGCCGACAATGTGGATGAGAGATGTTTATATACCGTATTTTTCCACCTATAAGATGCCCCCATGTATAAGACGCCTCCTATTTTTGGGGACTCCAATTTAAGAAAATGGGGGGAGATGGCCCCCGTGTATAAGACGCCCCCAAATTCTGGACATTATTTTTTAGGGGGGGGACCTAGTCTTTGACATGGAAAAATACGGTACTCGGTCTTATTTACCTTGCTATCTTTTGTTTTCTGAATCGTGAAATACATCAAATTGTGTGTTTTTCTTTTCCTCCAGAACAACAAGCCTCTGTACTCATTTGAAGACAACTCAGACTATGTTTACGATGTGATGTGGTCACCCACCCACCCTGCCCTCTTTGCCTGTGTGGATGGAATGGGAAGGCTTGACCTATGGAATCTCAACAACGATACTGAGGTAGGATCAGATTATATTGGGTATTCCAAATCTGAAAATAAGTTTACCAGCCTTAAAACAAACTTGTGATCTTTTAGTAACTGCAGCCCATCTTTTGTACAGTGGTGCCCCGCAAGACGAATGCCTCGCAAGACGGAAAACCCGCTAGACGAAAGGGTTTTCCGTTTTGGAGGTGCTTCGCAAAACGAATTTCCTATGGGCTTGCTTCGCAAGACGAAAATGTCTTGCGAGTTCCTGCAGGGTTTTTTTCCTCCCCCCCCCTTTTCCCCAAGCCGCTAAGCCGCTTATCAGCTGATCCGCTAAGCCGCTTAACAGCTGATCCGCTAAGCCGCTTAGCCGCTTATCAGCTGATCCACTAAGCCGCTTAACAGCTGATCCGCTAAGCCGCTTAACAGCTGATCCGCTAAGCCGCTAATAGCGCTAAGCCGCTAAGCCGCTAATGGGCTTGCATCGCAAGACGAAAAAACCGCAAGATGAAGAGACTCGTGGAACGGATTCTTTTCGTCTTGCGAGGCACCACTGTACATACATTTTAAAGTTCTTTTGCCTTCCCATCCTATTTACAAGACTGGTTAGGAGAATCCTGCCCAGTGTATGCAGATTCCTTTCCCTTGGCCACCGCACTTGGAGTACAGTGGGCCCATATTCTGTGAGGTCAGAGACCACTGTAAATAACAAGAAAAGGAATGCACTTAAATTGATGTGCCATCTCTTATTTGTACTTGCTGGGACGTTGGCTAAGATCAGCTTCTTGCATTTATTGTACTCCCAGGTATCTTATCTCCTGAGTGAAGACAGGTTCTTTGTGCATCGCTCATCATGACACCATAAGACGGTTGAAAAACCTCTCACTACAGCTTCATGAATCTACCCACTGATTTGTTAGTGCTCTTACAACAGCATAATAATGTAGCACCAACACTGTGTTGGGCACAGTACAAAACCCAAACATGATGCTGCCATTGAGTGCTTTAAGTACTGCTTTAATATTACTTTTGTGTGGGGAACCCACCACACTTAACTGATGTATAGGTGATGATTGGCTGTACTAAAGTAATTTTTGCCCATGTACTTCACATTCAACACACATAGACAAGGTTTTATCCAAAGGAGGAGGGACACAGTAAGTTGGAACTGTCATCTTTAAAGGCTTGGAGCTCTAATTCCTATCATTACCAACATTCCTCTTCTGAATGTTCACATCTGCATCACGGAAATTTTAAACTTTTGAAAGGTATAATGTGTTCCTTCATACAGTATTTTGTTCCTGCGGCATAAGGAACAGCCGGCACACTTCAGTGTCTGTATTGCCATCTTAATATTTGTGATGAAGGTTAAGAAAGTTTGAAAGATAGTATAAGTCCAGTTGAAACATGGTATGTTTTTAAAACTGGTATAGGTGCCAACAGCAAGCATTACTGTGGAAGGTAATCCTGCCCTAAACCGCGTGCGATGGACAAATTCCGGACGTGAGATTGCTGTCGGAGATTCAGAAGGACAAATAATAATTTACGATGTGGGAGAGGTAGGTAACTTCCAAGCGCTTCCAAAGTAAAAATGATGTCTTACATTATTTTACTTAAGTCCAATAATAAAAGGCACTTATTTGGGTCAGGTGGCCATAGTTCTTTCACTGCAGATGCCAGTGTGCATTTAAGTTTCCGCATACAAAGATACAATGTTAAGATATAAGCAATTCAAGTATTTTTTATGTAGTAGTAAGAATTTTGGATGTGTATAGTTTTGTTACGGGGTGGGGGGACTTCAGCCCCACACCCCAACGGTCTTTCGCCAGTCCCTATTGCCAGGGAGGGCTGCTCATCCATACTTCCCTTTGGGGTTAGGCAGTTGTTTGGTGAAGGGCCAGATGGCAATAATCAGTAGGCCAAAGGTTTGGACAAGCTGGTGCTCTTGTGAATCAGGGTAGCACAATGGCTTGAGTCCAAGGATGCCCTTCCACTAGCACAGGTGTGGACAACCTCTTGGACTTGCCCTGCAGGCTTTCCCATTGGGGCCCCAAGGCTATTTTAGCCATGCCACACACACACACACCCCACATCTGACATCAAGTGTAGGGCAGGCAAAGACCCGGCTCAGCCAGAAGGCATTTGCAAGCACTGCCCTTTGCAAAGGGCATTAAAAGACCCAATTATCGGATGATTGATGAGTTTTGCAAAGCCCTTTTAGAGCTTCTCACAAGATCTGACCGTCAGCTGATGTTTGGGCTTTGCAGAGAGATTTTGTGGTTGTGCATTTGCCCGCATGGTTTGATTTCAAACCATGAAGGCAAAAGGCCACTTGATGCCATTGTGACAGGTGATTGGTGGGTGGCCTTTTCAAATTGGCCTGCAAGAAGGGTGTGTGTGTAAAGATTTGGCCCAGTGATCGGATCCAGTTCTCCAACCCTGATCCTAGCAGATAGTTCTTAGTGCTGCTACACAGGTTATTTCTGACCTAGCAGAAGAGTGTTGCATTAGAAGTGTGACCCCAATTCCAGAGAAATTCTTTCATTTGTACAATTTCTTAAGACCATTTTACAGCCCACTGCGGTTAATAAGCTACAGCCTGTATTTTCCTTTTTCACCATGTTTCTCACACTTTAATAGAACCCCTGTTGCATTCAGGTGCTGCACTATGAAAAGTCTAGTGCTTGAACAAGGGCGTCTTCTCCTGTTCACAATCCTTTGGATTCAAGCTGATGAGTTTAATTTTCATACGTCCACTGATGTTTCCATATAACTATTTCTCCACAGCAAATTGCGGTTCCCCGAAATGATGAATGGACACGTTTTGGTCGAACTTTAGCAGAAATTAATGCCAACAGAGCTGATGCAGAAGAGGAGGCAGCAACCCGAATCCCTTCCTAGGTTGTTGAAGTGGGGGGTCTCGCTGTGAATTTGGGGATTGGTTATAGAGGGCTTCAGAATAGTAGCATGTGTTAAGTATGCGGCTGAACTTGACATTTAAAATGTGGAGTAAACTGTGGAGTCGACAAGTGTATAAAGATCAGTGAAATTGATCTTGCAGAGTTGCTTTTTAATCCCTGAATCACCACCCTTAATCTGATAGATATAATTTATTATTTACCCTGACTTGGCAAGGTGTATGTTCTACTGAAACACTAACCACGTTGAATATTTAAAGTTCAACTTTCAATGGCATATAACTATTTCAGAGCAATTTAAGTTCTGTAAGTTTCTGAACAAGAGCTTTTCCAAGTCAAACTGACAGGCTATGCTGTGGACATCAATCTCTGGGGCACTGGGAAAGTGTTATGGCTATAGTACTCTTAATGGCTTAGATTTGTGCATGCATCTGTTCACAGTAACCTTTATCCTAATTATTATATAATAGGCTCCAGGCTACAGTGGTAGGTCATGTATATGACTAAAAAAATCTGTAAACCCTTTTTTTGTAATGGAAACTTTCTAAAATACCTGCTAAGTACTTTGGATTTTTTTGTTTGTTACATTTCTGCAGTAGAGTAAGAATTCTTTATAAATAAACATTACATGGCCTCTTTTCTCACAAGCATCTGTTTAAAGACTTGTTTTTCAAGAGTTTGCATTTTCAGAGGTTTGTGCAGGGGCAGGGGTGAGGGGCTGCAGGAAAATAATTAACTTACAAACTCCATTTCTTTTTTTAAAAAGTATCTTGTGCCTATAATAAAAATGGATTTGGGATTTATTTTGTAATTCTTCAGTTTACTTGATATTACTCATGTAACAGTTCTTTAAACTAAAGCAAAAAGAATGTGCACATGAGGCAATTCATACTTTCAAAAGCAACTTGTCCATTTTTTCTCTAGGACTTTGTAGTAGGTGCGGTATTATCTTACCATCACATAAGATCAGTGTAAAGTTCCACATTATTTGATTTATTTTTTGCACATCAGTTTCTTTCCTATGCAACAATAAGATATACATTTTTAATCGTTTCTGAAATATCTGCCTATAGGCTTGAAGCTATTTTTTAAGGATTCTGGATTATTATTTTTAGTTGACTTTTTACTCCCATAGGTAAAAAAGCATGCTGTTTCTACTGATGAATACTACTCAGAAAATCCAATTACCAATTCTGATATTAAATTCTTGGTTATTCTACCAAAGAGGTGATCTTTCTATTGTGACATTACATTAAAGGCTGTATGATTACTGGAGAATAATGACCACTACTTTTTCTCCTATTTTATAGAGGAACAAGCCTTGCTGCAGCAGAGCCAGCATGACTTCTGCTAGGACAAATCCTGTCTCTCTAACCTGTTGAGAGTGCTTTGACTATCAACAAGCATGGGTGGAGGGGATCTGATTGACACAGTGTACTTGGACTTTAAAAAAGCTTTTGACAAGGTACTTCCTGAGTGAACTTAGCAGTCATGTCATAAAAGGAGAGGTCCTTTTGTGGATGAGGAGTTGGTTAAGTAGCAGGAAGCAGATAATATTAGTAAACTGACAGTTTACTAATCTCGAACAGAGAGATACAGAAAGTAGCGTTCCCCAAGGATTCGTATCCGGACCTGTGCTTTTAAACTTATACATAAATGATCTAGAGGTAGGGGTGAGCTGTGAAGGGGCTGTGGTGATCACACAGGATCCCCGGACGTTTCACCGTCTATTGATCCCTGTGCCACCACTTTATTTCTCGCTGCCACCACCCAGGCCCTACCTGGTACAATACCGAGTCCAGTCAGGGTTAAATTGGAACATAAACTTCTGTTTATTTATTGCAGTTTAACAACCATGTGGTTTCATAAACGGTATTGCTCAATTACAATCATGGGGTGCCTATCCAGACCTATAACTTCCGTTACCTGCTCTCACTCACTAAACCACCTCTCAGATTTTTTGTCTTCCTAGCTCCTAACTGTTCCTGACTCAGCTTATTTTGCTACACTAACTCAACCTACCCACAGACTATCTCAATTCACTCCCACTCCAACCAACCAACCAACTCCCAACGAACTCCCCCTTTGCCCCTCCCAGAGCTGGTTTTATAGTCCCTCTGACTCCACCCCCCTGGGTCCTGATTGGGTAACCCGTTTAACTATTTCACCTCCAGCACTCTCATATGTTAACGTCACAGGGGCCAGGTTTGCTGATGGTACTTAATTGTTCAGGGTCATTAAAACAAAAAAGGGCGTGTGAAGAGCTGCAAATGGCCTCTTCAAACTGAGTGAATGGTTGGTAAAATGGCAAATACAATTCAGTGTAAACCGGTGGAAAGCAGTGCCGTGTTGGGGCAAAAAAATCTTAAGGTCACATGGAGTCTGAACTGGTGGGGTTGGGCCAGAAAGAGACCTTGGGGGTTATAGCCGATAGCTGGATGAAGCCATTGACTCCGTGTGCAGCAGCTGTGAAAGGCGAATCCCATGCTAGGAAAGCGACTGGGGAGAAAAACTCCTATCATAACGCTGTTATAAGGCATTCTGGTGCAAATGCATTCTAGTAATGTGTATGGCTCTGGTCGCCTCACCTCAAAAAGGATATCGTACATTTGGGAAAAGGTTCAGAAAGGGGCAACCAGCATGTTTGAGGGGATGGAATGATTCCCCTATGCAGAAAGGGTGTAGCAGTTGGGACTTCTTGGAGAAATGACAGTAGTTAAAACTGTGGAACTCACTCCCACATGAGGCAGCGATGGCCACCAAATGAAATGGTTTTAAAAGAGGATTAGGCAAATTCATGGAGGAGAGGGCTATCCTAGCTCCTAGCTAGGCTATGCTCTGCCTCCTCCAGCAAAGCCTGTATCCTGAATACCAGTTGCTGGGGGAGGGAGTTTGCACCATTTCTTCCCAGCAAACATTTTCATCTTTTTGCATTTCTTCTTGCTGTCTTGCAGACTAGCAAGGTTGTCCAAAAGGATAACTTAATCCGTTTGCTTCCTACGGAGGAATTTAGCTTAGAACACAAAAAGAACCCTGTCATTCTTGGTTTTAATAAATTTTATTGTCACATGATTTTTAATAAAACACTTTCCAAAACATTCTGTACATTTCAAACTATTTAGAACCGCAACACCTGTTTCTACAAATGCAGTTGCATTTCAACGCCATGATAATGTCTCTGTACAAAGTTGTACAATATGTACAGTAACATGGAGTGCAAGCTGTGCTAAGCCAAGCCCTAGTTACTTATTCTACGCATAGAACTTAAAGCTTGAATCAGTCTCCCGTGTGCAAATGATTAGCTGTGTTTTGGATAGAAAGGAGTGATTCGATGTCGGTGCTCCATTCAGCTAGAGCATCATGCAGCTGACTGGAGGAGCAGAGCCACGGCTGTAGCTCTCTGTCCATGGCACTACTTTTTAATCTGGCTCAGGAGGGAGCGGCTGCTTTGGGCTGCGCTGAAACGGCACCTGATTTAAACTTTGGAAGAGAGAGGCCAAATTTGTTCTCTATCCCAGCAAAGGTAGCTGTTGCAAGTCGATATCCACCTATGTGGTCGGGATTGGCAGGAGGAAGGCCGGAGATTCGAGACTTGGGTGTAGGTTCTGAGCCGGAGGGTTTGCTGGTAAGGAGGCAAAGAGAAAATTAGCAGAGTTCAGGTTTCATCAGCATAACGCTATTTCTTTAAGGCAGGGGTGGGAAACTTGCGGGGCAAATCCTGACCTACCTGTGAGTCCAATATGGCCTGTAAGGCAATTTCCCCATAACCACTGTGGAGGGGGTGTTTCAGTTCTGCTCTGGGTACTGCTTTGCTAGCATGTTCCCTGTGGGGAACGTGCTGCTGAAGCAACCACACTATTGCAAATCAAATTCGACTGGTGAAACCACCCGCACCCCAGTCACCTGACACAGAACCGTAGAGCTGGAAAGGGGCACCAAGGGTCATCTAGTCCAACCCCCTGCAATGCAGGAATCTCAGCCAAAGCATCCATGACAGATGGCTCCATCCACCTGTCAAAGTTAGCCCACGGGCGAATAAAGATTTGGACCACTAGCCCATACAGGTTCCCTACCCATACCTGAAGCTTTACACTCATGATCTCGGCCCATCCATGCATCTTTTTGTCAGTTTTTAACAGTGTTGAGCATGGCTTGGCATGAATCTAGATCAGGTACTCAGAGCCGATCCAACAGATCACTCACTAGGGAATGTATATGCAGATCTGAAATAGCTAGGACTGGGTCAGGTGTTGTTCACTGGGCTTTTTCTCTCCCCATGAAACACCTTTTTGCATGGTGGCTTACATCAACCAAGACCTGAATCTTTTTAACAGCCGACACCACAGGGTTCTTCTAGGATTCATCGTATATACCTTGAATGCCACCAGCCAAGGGCAGTAAATTGGTCATAAGCTTTGATTTAGATTCTGACTCTTTGTTTAAAGGTAAAGGGACCCCTGACCATTAGGTCCAGTCGTGACCGACTCTGGGGTTGCAGCACTCATTTTATTGGCCGAGGGAGCCGGTATACAGCTTCCGGGTCATGTGGCCAGCATGACTAAGCCGCTTCTGGCGAACCAGAGCAGCGCACGGAAACGCCGTTTACCTTCCCGCCAGAGCGGTACCTATTTATCTACTTGCACTTTGATGTGCTTTCGAACTGCTAGGTTGGCAGGAGCTGGGACCGAGCAACGGGAGCTCACCCCATCGCAGGGATTCAAACCGCCGACCTTCTAATCAGCAAGTCCTAGGCTTTGTGGTTTAACCCACAGTGCCACCCGCGTCCCAGTGGACTCTTAAGTTTAAAAATGCACAAATTCTAAGCTTGAAGGGAGAAAAGCTGAGGAACTGCTGGATGGTGCAGACACTTCTCCACCAACCCTGAGCATTGACTATGCTGGCTGGGGCTGAGTTGGAGTCCAACAATAACAACATATGGATGGCCACAGATTCCCTATATTTCTTGTAGCGCATCACCTGCCTGTTCTGTGTCACAGTGTCTCAACCTTACGCTAAGACCAGTAATGAAAACCGGAGTGTTGAAGAGTAAAGATTATATTCTAGGTTGCTGAACTCTCCTGTTTATATTTAGAAACACAATTTAATCTAAATGTACCAGCCATTTTTCACCAACCAAGAATGGGTGTGGCAACCCATGGTTCTCCAGATGTTGTTGGACCCCAACTTCCATCATCCTTGCCCATGCTGGCTGAGGCTGATGAAAGTTGCAAGTTGAACATTGTATCAAGGGCCACAGGTTCCCTGCGCTTGGTTTAGAGCAGGCTTCCTCAACCTCGGCCCTCCAGATGTTTTGAGACTACAATTCCCATCAACCCTGACCACTGGTCCTGCTAGTTAGGGATGACGGGAGTTGTAGGCCAAAAACATCTGGAGGGCCGAGGTTGAGGAAGCCTGGTTTAGAGGATGGTAAACTGTACTTACATGCCTCCAAAATCAACATAGAGCCAGCGCTGCAAAAGTTCATAGGTCACTAGAGTGACGCCAAACTGGGGTGAAGATCTGAACACTCGTGCTGTTGAACAGAATAAGCACAATCTTTATTGAGCAGGTATTTAAATGGTTGCGAGCCTTGGGACTCTCTAGTCTTCTTTAAATTAAAACAGAAGTTACAAATGTACCCACACATCCCACCTCTTTTCCTTACCTGCGGCTCCTTTCCAGAAAGCTGCGGGGCCTTCTTCTCGAAGTATCTTTCCAAAGCAGTCAACAACTCCATTGTATGTCGTCTGACCAGCGCGAGCCGCCACTTGCAGTCTCGTCTTGATGACATCAGCAGGGGTCACCAAGGAAGCAGCAGGCACACCTTTTCAGGAGAAATGAGTGTTTAGTTTAACGCAAACAGAGACGGGCAGAAACATTTCTAACGCCAAAGAATATGAATACCAATAACGGCTGAAGTAACGGCATTTGTAACAAAACCAAAACGGCAACGGCAGCTTCTCCTTTCCTCGTGTGCAGCTTAACGCTTTATGCCAGAGTACATTCAATATAATTATAATAATAGCTTATTATTTACATGCCGCCCATCTTACAGGGTTGCCCCAGCTGCTCTGGGCATCTTTCAACAAGTAAAAAAAATGAAACGCAGTAAAACATCAAACATTAAAAACTTCCCGATACATGGTTGCTCTATCTTCTCAGAGTCAGATAGTTGTTTATTTCCTTGGCATCTGATAGGAGGGTGGTCCACAGGGTGGG